ATTTCATCTATGTAAAAATCACTTTTTAATTTTATATTCACTTTGCTGTTTCTTAAAAGAATTTAACTTATGAATAGCACTTTAACAATCTCTGGGGAATGGAAGCATCAAGTTGTAGGTGATATGTGCAGGGCTCTCACTGTGTGCCATGCATTGCTATGGGTACTATATATTGGTGAAACCACTTAACCCTCACATGAACTCCTTCAGATAAATCTTATTAATATCTCTGCTTCACAGATGCAGAAACTGTGGTCCAAAGAAGCTCAATTATTGGTCTAAATTCACATTCTCCATAACAATAGAGCCAGAATTCAAATCCAGGCTCCCAGCTTCAGAACCCAAGGCTATAATATATTAATTTTAAAATAATCATAATTACTAGTCTTCTTACTGTTATAAAATACAAATATCTATTTCCTTTTAAGTAAATGATTTTTTCTAAGCATTACAAGAAGCCAAATGTCTTAAGAAAAGGTTGTTTCTTCTTGAAGCCTCCATGCCTCCTGTAGGAGTGTTAGGGAGTCAAACATCCCTCCTACACCCACACTGTGCTTCCACCGACAGGCACCATGAGTCACAACCATTATGTTCTAGTTTTGTAGATACTTTCATCACCACTGTGTTTAAATGTTTGTTTCTATGTGCCCCAGCACCATTGCCAGGATTTTGAAAACAAATCTTGTCTTATTTATATTTATTGCTGTTCAGTGATTACAATGATAATTAAAACAATAACAAAAAATAATAATAAGGGTTTACTAGGTGCCAGGCACTGTGCTAAGTGTTCAACATGTATTGTCTCAGTTAAGCCTCTCAATAAACATCTGGCATATGAACCATGATTACCTTTTTGCTCAGTGAATGTGTGGCACATGCCAGGTGCCCAATAAAGTTCGATTTATTGATATTCCATAGTTTCTAAACTTATTTTCCTGAAATAAATTAAAATATAGACTCCTTGGAGAGAAACAAGCATACCAGGGATTCCCAGTGATTGAGAACCTGACCACTTACATTTGAGGGATGAGAGTTGGGGAAGGGCTGCTCCTGATATTAAAAAGGAAAGGCAAGTTGCAAAAGCCACATTGTCAGTCCATCTCTACCCCTTAACACAAAAAGGACTGTATCAAATGACTCAGTTTGCCTGAGAGTGTCAATTTCTTTTCTCTCTTCTGATGGAATATTTTAAAAGCCTCCTTTTATTTTCAAAAGTCTTCTGTTTGGATGTTATATTACTGATCACCCCAACTGCAAAGTCTCAATGTGAATGTGACACACTGGGCCAATGACCCATCTGCTACTCACCTGTTCAATTCACCTATCCTATCCACCCACTTAGGCCAATGGCAATGTGACACTGTGAATTGAGACAACCTTGCATTTGTATTAAATAAGGAATAGGGTGATCCACAATGGTCTCCAGGCAACAGGCCACATTGCTACACTAAGGTCAGCAGAACAATTGGCAAAAGAACTTTGGAGCAAGAGAATCCTGATGGCATTATCTTGATATGTACCTGGCCTTGATTTATGCTTGAGGTTATTTGACTGCATGGGTCTTTATGATGCTTATAAAATAAGAAGTAACCACACAGTTCATAGAGGCAAGAACACTGGTCTCCCTACCTCACACAATAAATGTCGATGCATGGTTATATGATCATAAAGAAAAAAAAAGAACAGAAAAATACTAAATAGTTTGTTGCTGAGGGTGTGTGCAGTGGGATGGGACAGGGAGATAAAAAAAAAAAATCCAATGGGACAGAAATGGGAAGAGAAGGGGAGCCAAACAAACAAATGAAAATAATAACTTTGTCCTCACTATGGTATGAATGTTTAAAACTCCTCCCCCCCCAAAAAAAAATTTTTTTTTATGTTGAAATAACTCCCAAAGGCTATGGTATTAGGAGATGGGGACTTTGGGAGGAGCTTAGGTCATGAAGGTGTAGCCATCATGAATGAAATTAGCACCCTTATAAAAGAGATCCCAGAGAGTTTATTCACTCCTTCCTACCATATGGGGACACAGTATGATTACAGCTATGAATCAGGAAGAAAGCCTACACCTGATCTCCAACTCCCAGCCTGAAGAACTGTGAGAAATAAATTTCTGCTACTTATACACCATCCAATTTGAGGTATTTTGTTATATCAGCCTGAACAGACTATGACAGCACTGGGGAGGCGAAGGGGGGGGGAATAGCAAATTATAAAGTATGCTTGTGCACTTATGTAAAAGTACTTATGTGTATAGATGAATGATGGATAAACTACTAGTCTAGGATTCAATGCCACCAACACTCTGTAAGAATATCTTGTTCACCACAGCTTCCCAAGCACTTAGTGTAATACCTATATTACAATACAATATTTCTGAAGGGAGGAGGCAATAAAGCAAACTAGCAAACCAACTTGGTTTCTACGTAGCTATACAGCTGATGTATACTGTAGCTGAGAGAAAGAAAAATTATTTGCAATAGTATCTAACACTCAGGCCATGATGAAGGGCAGATCTGAGCAAAACGTTCAGCCAGATACCCTTAGACAAGGTGACCACCACAGTGCTATAGTGGCAGCCTGCTTTGAAGCTATTGGGTTTGATCTTTAAGCATTTTTAATTCAAAAATTGCACAGACATACACACAGGCAAAAAACAGTCTTATAAAAATTTTTCAAATTCATACTATGGGGGAGAAAATTTTTTACTTGTCCTTCTAGCTTCTTTCAGCTGCTCTAATAATTAAATTGATATGAGACAGATTGACTGGAGAAAATAACCAAACTTAATTACATATGTACGTACAGGGCTACCACATGCATGAGCAGTTCAGAGAAAGAAAGGTAAAATGAGGTATACATGATATTCTGAGCTAAGAGATAATATGTTTTGAGGCTTCAGAAGTGAAGAGGGTAATTTGCAGGATAAAGAGACAAGCAGACGTTCAGTAATATCAGCAGTTTCCCTGCCCCATAGGTCATAAAAAGTCATTTCTAGTGATAACTCTAATTTAGACAAGGCCCCAATTTAAATTATTTAAGGGAGAAGTAAAAGCTTCTTTGGATCCCACAGGGTCACAGTTTCCTTCAGCTCCACATACCAAAATAATCCACATACCTCAGGCCCTTAAATTCTTTTAAAGATATAAATGCCATCCCTCACATTTTTTAATATTCAGATATATAAGCATATTCTTTTTATTAACAAAATGAGATCAGACATTTATATTATTCTACATAAGTAGAATTTTATGATTCTCCTTTTTAAACTTTCATTATCACAATATATCACAAATATCTCTCCAGATTTGGTCATAGAAAATCACTTTATCAGTCATAGTAATGATTCAGAACAAATCATTACAAAATGCAATGACTTGCAACAGCTATATTTTTTAATATATTTTATTGATATTTTTTACAAAGAGGAAGAGAGAGGGATAGAGTGTTAGAAACATTGATGAGAGAGAATCACCTTCCTCCTACACACCCCCTACCGGGATGTGCCCGCAACCAAGGTATATGCCCTTGACCGTAATCAAACCTGGGACCTTTCAGTCCACAGGCCGATACTCTATCCACTGAGCCAAACTGGTTTCGGCCAATTACTATATATATATTTTTTTTTAATTTGTCTAGGCTCCTCAGGACTCTGAACTCCAGGTTGGTGCAGTTTGCTTTTTGTGTCTGTTACATCCTCCCAGGACTAGTGGGGGATAATAACATGCTATGCCCTTTTTGATGGCAAAAACTCAAGAGGGGTGAGTGGAATAATACCTTTTAAATCTAAGATCACTACATTGTCACTTCTGTCCACGTATCATTAGCCAAAGCAAGTCATATGGCCAATTCAATATTGGTGGGGTGATAAAATACACTCTACCTCTCCTGTGAGAAACTGCAAATCATCAGCAAAGAGTGTGGTTGCTGTTAGGGTCACCAAAGGAGGAATGCACAAGGCCAAAGTGGTAAGGGATTGTAAAATTTTTTAAGTCATCTGGATACCAGATGGGCTGAGCCCCCAAATGGCTCCAGCAACCAAAGACAGGGAGTTAGAGGTTTTTAAAGGACTCTAGGTGGGCTTTTCCTGGAAGGAGAATTCTTTGTGCAGGTCTCGATTCTGGGAAAGTCTGGACGGGAGAGATAATGGTCTTAGCAAGTGGAATGTGGTCTAAGCAAGTGGAATGTCCTTTGTCAAGTGGCCTGGAGGTCAGTTCCCAAGAGAGGGAGGTATCTATTCAATTATTTGATGAGACCAACAGTTACTGGGAGAGATGCATGAGTAACGATGCTTGTTGCTATGTATTTAACCACTCCCATTGATAAAAATTAGGTTGATTACAACTATAGAGCTGTGAAGAACATGCAACTTGCCCTGTTTCCCTTTTGTTTCGGTTTCCATGAAGCTGGAAGCCAAATTTAAGTCTCAATTAAGGCACATTGCTCATTGTTAGCATATACATTTACTCATTTTCTATTCCTAGTTTATTGAACTTTATTTTATTATCCTATTTTGAAAGCTTCTTTAATTTTTAAAATAAAGAATCAATGTATGATTAATTTGAATTTTATGAGTGTCAGAATCTCCTGACTGTTGAAGTCACTAAAAAGAATCAAGGGTTCTAATGTGTGGTAAATGCACCAGACTGCCTCTTAGAGCCTTCTCGAGTCTGGTCTCTATGCATTCATTAATACACTTACTGCCACCAGATGACAGGGAAGAGAAAGAATGCAGACTCAACTCAACTAGCTAGGAGCAAATCTCGGTGGTAAAAATTTTAATGAAGGTAGAAAATTACCAGATAGTCGGCCACCATTTTGCTTTCCTTTAAGCTGGCCGTGATTGTGGGTCAGATAAATTTGGGGCCATGAAGCTGCCAAGCAGAGCCAGATCCCTTCTCAAGATTTTATCCCCTCAAAGTTACACCCAAAGTGAAAGCCACAACTGCTCCTGCAGGAGTGCCTGCACATACTCAAGACCTTGAGCTTACCAAATTACCAAGCAGCTTAGTGATTGCCATGCTCCTCCATCAAGAAGTGGTTTGTTCATTAAAGCAGGCAGTAGGTACAAGGACTCTGACAACTTAGGAACCTCCCATTTGCTTCATTTTGCATCCAGTCTGACTACAAAAGGAGCATCATCTTTCAAGATAACCTCTGGAATTGAAGCCATTGGTGGTAAATTAAGTGTGACTTGAACAAATTAAAACGTGGCCTACACGGTGGAATGCCTGCAGGTGACATCAAAATTCTAATGGAGTTCCTGCTCGAGGTTACCACAGCACCTGAATTTCATCAATGGGAAATTGATGAAATAGCTGTCCTTCAGTCTCAGCTAAGGACTGACAACACTGTAGCTTTTCAGAATCCAAAGGCTCCTATTGAAAATTTTCGTTCTACAATTTATCGAAATGTCTTGGCTAATTCTTTGTATTGTCCTGTTTATAAGATTGAGAAAGTGGCATCAGATGAATTACATCACTATGTTCAGAACCATTTTACAAGTGCAAGAATGGCTTTGATTGGACATGGTGTGGTTCATCCTGTACTGAAACAAGTTGCTGAATGATTTCTGAATATGAGGGGTGGGCTTGGTTTACCTGGTGCAAAGGCCAGATGCCTTGGAGGTGAAATTTGAGAACACAATGGAGACAGTCTGTCCATGCTCCTGCATCAGAAAGTGCTGCCACAGGAAGGCCAGAAGCAAATGCATTTAGTGTTCACCAACATGTCCTCGGTGCTGGGCCACCTGTCAAGAGGGACAGCAATGCCACCAGCCTCCTGTACCATGCTGCTGCCAAGAGGATTCACTAGCCATTTGATGTTTCTGCTTGTTATGCCAGTTACTCAGATTTTCCAATCTTTGGTATGTATCCTATCTCTAAGGCTGCAGCTCCAGAGATGTTATCAAGACTGCCTGCAACCAAGTAAAAGCAATTGATTAAGAAAACCTTTCTAGTATGGATTTTCAGGCTGCCAAGAACAAGTTGAAAACTAGGTACCTAATGTCAGTGGAGTCTTCTGAAGGTTTACTGGGTGATGGCAGGTCTCAGATTCTTGCTGCTGATTCATACATGCCACCATTTAGTCAACAGATTGACTCAGTAGCTGATGCTGATGTCATAAATGCTGCAAAAAAGTTTTTTTTTTTCTGGCCAGAAGTCAATGGCAGCAAGTGAAAATTTGGGGCGTACACCCTTTGTTGATGAGCTGTAATACTGAACCACATTGAAAGAAAGAGCTGGATGTTTTCTCAACCCCGAACAGTAAACACATGAATGTCATAAGTCTAGACTGTATCATATATTTTTGTTTTCAATGAGGTGAAATACTTTAAAAAGTATAAATGCAGGTAATTGTTCTCAGTGGACCTAAAGTCAATGAAACATTTGAGTGTTAAAAAAAGAAGAAAGAAAAAAATGTATCAGATGGTGTTCCTCTCTGCTTCCAGAAAATCTATGGTTGATTTTAGTGCCCTACACAGCATCTGGCCCTAGTCATGTACTTAAATGCATAATGATACAAAGTTATGTATTTATCAAAAAGAAACAAATATAGTCAATAGACAAAAGGAAATTCTATTTTAAAATTTGCAACCTTATAGTTTGGACTTTTGTATTTTAAAAAGTAGTATCAATGTAAAGACAACTTTGCACCTCCAATCTCAGGAATGCATCCTTTCTTACAATTACCTACATTTCTTACCTATAGTCCTCACTCAGTGTCTCACTTTCCTCCTCATTGTCAAGGAATAAAGAGCAAGTAGTAGATACTCAGAGATTACTAGCTCACAATTTGGCTCATTTGGTAGTTCTAGAGCAGTCATCAAAACCATAGTCCAAGCTTTCAAAGGTGGTTTTATTAGCAGCTCCCATTGGTATGTCATTATCATCTGTTAAAAAATTATATTTCAGAAGGTTCTTTACAATATCATAAAGTGGGCAGGGAAAGTACTGAGGTCAGCTTGTAGTGTAGGTAGATTTATTATTTAAATTTATATCCATCAGACACAAAACACTTTTTTAGCAAGGTACATTAAACTATTTCTTCTCCAAAGTGTCTAACTCAGTTGGGAAAAGTGTGTGTAGGGGGGGGGGGGGGGCGGGGGGGGAAGAGCAGGAGGGGAGAGGAGATATTTTAATCTATCTTTAAAAGCAAATCCAAGTCTTTGCCTCATGAATATGGAATTAAGACAATAAGAAGGTGTGATACAAAGCATAGTCAGAGACTTCTGCTTAAAAGGACAAGTTTGTCTAAATACCTTGAAACTTCCTGTCCCCTCAACTGGACTCAACTTCTTTCTTCAGCTTCCCTCCTTCCCTAATACATGGGGAGTTACGACAGTTGGTGAAGAAGAGGTGTGAAAAGAACAACCACAGGGGCCACAGTGATTCGGAGTACATTGCTGAGCCATGCCTCCGATTTGAAGCTTCTTTCCCAAGTTGGTCATAGCAGTCAGGAATTTGATTTTCTTTACTCTCGCTCCTCTCTGAGACTGTCAATGGTTTTATTGAATAGTGTTTAAGACAATTGTAGAACCCTTTAAGGTCAATCTGTCCCTCAATGTCACTTTTTTCTTTTTTTCTATACCAGTCTATACCAGTCTACAAGGAAAACATTCTATACCAGTCTACAGGGAAAATAAGAGACTTACTGCCTACAGACATAAAGAAGAGAAGGTTAAAATGTATTCCCAATTAATTGCAATATCTGAATATCAAATAACCCTGAAAAGGTGTTGCTGTTTTGTCCCGAAACAGTTTTCTGGTAAGAAAGAAGTACAGCCACAGGGCTGCTGGAGGAAATTCATTCTGCACAGTTCTCTCCCTCCCCTCTGACCCCGCCCATGCTTTCCTGAGACCAAACAAACCTAAGGTCTTTCGGGTAGAGAACCACTTACTGAGCGAGCATGCAGCAGCTACACAAGTGCAGCTGAAGGGAACGCTGAGGAAACAAAGCCTTAATATGTGCACCTTGTGCCCCAATGCCTGTGAAACTTGCCCCTCCACCACAGCCACTGCCCTTCCCCCCCAACTTCCCAAGTCCAAGCACATTAGCTATTCCTCCCTGCAGACACCTGCACTGGGGCAAGTGGAGTTTGGGGCTCACATTAAAAACTTATTCTCACTATTTTAAAGCTAGGGATTCCATAAAATGCAAGGAACCCATATATAAAAGCAATGAGAAAATGACACAGAAATATATTTTACCAAAAGACACTTGCATATTAGTGAGGCACTCTGAGTCCAAAAGTCATGTGGTCTAAACTTGACCTACTAAAGAAGTTTGACTTTGGGTCAGCCTCTTCATTTCTCTGAATCCATTTCCCTGAGTAAAAATGAGGTTATGTAAATAACAGTGTTTTGTATATTTAAGCATCAGGCAAAGTAAAGAGATTTCTATAAAGAAACCCCAGTTAAAGAACCAGGTCATTTAGCTTTTATCTCCATGAGCCATTACTGGTGTTCCTTTTCAGTCACCCTGTATAAGACTCTACAATTAATCAGTATCTTTGTCTTTGTATTCAATTTCTGCTGCAGACTAGGTGCAGTGACTTGGACTAAACCACAGGATCACTTGGATTCTGTCCATAACTTCTGGGTACACAGCATATGTGACCTTAGAAAGGAAGAAAAGAGAATGATTACTTTTTTAGATAAAACCACTTAAAATATGCAAAGTTATGGTAAGCCAAAAAACTCAATATCCCTAAGACATAGCCTGGGGTGGGTAGGAACTGAGAGAAAGGGAGTAAAGGAGAGAGGAAATGGGAGACATCTGTAATATTATCAACAATAAAATATTTTAAAAGAGAGATATTCTGTGATCCAATTAATCTGTCTTCAAGCTCATTCTCATTTGTATCACATTAATAAGGATAAAAGTCCTCACAAGCACCTTTCCTGTGAGAAAATGAGTGTCATGTCCCTCTATCTGGTTGCAAATTCCTGCCACTGTGCTTCCCAATTAAAGAGACTTTTAGAGAAAAAACTACAATTCTTACAGAAGAACTAAAACATATGTCTGGGCTCAGACTACCCAAGTCTGAGTGGGATAAAAAATACTCTTAATGAAAACTTCTGGAGGATATCAAGGGAGAGATTCACAGCAATACAGTGATAGTACAGGACTTTAATATCCTACTAACACCACTGGACAAATCCCCTAAACAAAAAATCAGCAAAGAAACATAATTCTAAATTACTCACTAGATCAGATGGAATTAATTGATATCTTCAGAACATTTCACCCCAAAGCCACAGAATATACATTCTTCTCAGGTAAGCATGAGACATTTTCAAATATAGACCACATATTGGGACACAGACAAAGTCTCTCTAACTTTGACAGCAATGTGCAAGTGGATTTGAAAAAAGTAAACTCCAGGAGCTGAGAAACCAGGTAAGATGCTGAGGAAAATTTTCAGAAAGAAACCAATGGGGGCCTGAATCAAAGGAGTGGCAAAAGTGGAATATGAGTCCTAAATCCTAAATGAGTCTGGTCAGAGGCAGAGGCCAACAGCCATCAGCATCGGTGCTCCTCACCTGGAATCTTAAGTAAGAAAAGTTACTGGAAAGTCCCTTGAGAGCTTGTTACAGAATGTGCCATTTCTGTATATTTTATTCATATGTCATCAGTTACTCTTTAAAAATATCATAATACAATTTACAACAGTTTTAATGTTGAAGTCACACAATTTTTAAAAATATATTTATATTGATTTCAAAGAGGAAGGGTAATAGAGAAAGAGAAACATCAATGGTGGGAATCATTGATTGGCTTCCTCCTGCAACCTGAGAATGCGCCCAACTAGAATCTAACCATGACCTCCTGATTCATAGGTCTATGCTCAACCACTAAGTCACACTGGCTCAGCAGGGGAGATATCATGATCACAAATTCATACAATTCTAATGAAACCTAGATTCATTTTAATGAAAATTATAGAGGCCCTGGCCAGGTAGCTCAGTTGTTTGGAGTGTTGTTCCAGTGTGCCACGGTTGCTGGTTTCATTCCTTTTGGGGAACATGCAGGAGTCAACCAGTAAATGCACAAATGGGTAGAACAATGGGTAGGTCTCTCTCTCTCTTCTCTCTCTCTATCGATCAATCAAATTAATAAAATAAAATTTTTGAAAAAAGAAAAATACAGAAATTATAACTGATCCCAATGATCTCCTCCATTAACAGCTAGGTAGCTAGAAATGAAGAACAATGGTGGGTAATAAACTTTTGAACAAATAAAAATTTATAATAATTCAGCATCCATGATATTAATAGTAATAATTTAATTACAATATATTTTTGTTAATCCTCACCTGAGGATATTTTTTCCATTGCTTTTTAGAGAGAGTGGAAGGAAGGGTGTGGGGGAGAGAAAAACATCAATGTGAGAAAGACACATCACTTGGTTGCCTTCTGCACGCTCCCTGGTCAGGGTTTAAACTTGCAACCCAAATATGTGCTCTTGACTGAGAATCATTGAACCCAGGACCCATCAGTGCTTGGGCTATGCTCTACCACTGAGCTATACTAGCCAGGGCTAATTAAAATATTTTGAATACACATATAGATTAAGCTACAAAGATGTTCATAGTAGCCATATTGTAAATTTCAAAATTTGAAAACTTAATTATTCAAAAACAAAGGATTAGTTGTGTAAATTGTAATGTCTCCATATGGTAGAATACTTTTTAAGAATTAAAAATGTCATAGAAATATATTAATTTAAATAAAAAGACATTCTATTGTTAGGTGGAAAAAAAACAAATTAAAAAATAGCATGCAGCATATGAGCATATGAGTTCATTATTGCTTAAGAGGAAGGGATGTGAATATAAAACAATCTAGAAGAATATATACCAAAATG